ATCTGAATTCAAAATTGAAGATTTTCAGTATTTAATTGACCGAAAAAAAAGTTCTTTTGGGTATCAGATCCAGGTCGTGTGGAGGCTCCTCCCTATGAATCGTTCCAAAGAAATCTTTTTTTTTAGTTTTAATCAGATTCGCACAGTAACGGTAATACAGTGACTGACAGTATTAAGCTGCCATGGAAGGACCTTCAGCAGTTTTAGTGGGAAAAAATCGTCCTTCATACGTTTTCCAAAGTTGAGCAGTTTAATTTTTCCTTCGAATTCGTGATTGCGGGCAAAACAACACTTCTGCGTATGAACTGGTGATGTAATTTTTCTTTGTGAAGTTCATAATCACAAAAATTTCTAAAGATGAGCCGTCCAGGAGCGTGGGCCACGGTGTGGAACAATTTCAAGAGATATCTGCGAAAAGACTGGTCCACAAAGGTGATTTACTTTAGCTTCCTTTATTTTTAATTTACTGATTTTTTTGAACCTTGTGCAACATTTGTCGACAGAGTGTATTGACCAGTAAAATTCTCATTGTTTTTTCAGACTTATGTTGCTGAAGATGCGGCAGGTCGTCGATATTACGAGATCAGAAATACTCGACAGAATGTCACACGGTTTGTTCGTGCTTCTCTTCGCAAAAGTGCCCATTCTTTCGCAACAAAACAGCTCTTGTCAATTGCGAAAAAAAGCCTAAGTGGAGCTTGTAAAAGAGATGATAATGTCTTGTTTCCCCCTCTTTGTGTTCCTGTTGTAAAATTGGGTTGCCAACTTTGTTTTTTCACTCACTTTGCTTGTTCAAGGGGGTACGATCCATCACCGAATGCACCGACTTCCGAACCCAGCGTTGAGTGGCAGTCTTGGTTGAGGGGCACACGACGATTTCCGCCCAGCGAAGATGAATTGGCTCTGAATCGCGTGAGGCAGCAGGTTCGTTGAATTGCTAGTTAGGGGATCAAGAACTCTATCCATTTTAATGAGCAATCCTTCGTTCTCATTTCATTTTCATTTTGACTTCGTCTAAACTGTGATCCAGTCTGAACTCATGTCTTCATGCGGTTCTATTTTCTCCTTTTTTGGGTTAAATGTTAACATTTTTCGCTAACAATCCAAATAAATTGGCGTTCTGCAATGCCAAGTTTTAAGATGTTCATTATCTAAATTTTTTGCTTCTCTTAGTCTTATATCTCAGCCTATACACGAAACGTCAGCGCATCTTTTCTTGATACAGGTCTGGGTAGCAGGCTCCACGCGTACCAAGTCAATACTTCGACCCCCACGCTCTGAAACACTCCCGAGTGCGACCACAGCTCACAATCTCGGCGATTCTATAGTAACACTGGCATAAAGGTTTAGACGCCTCCTGATTGCGCCCCGACCCTAGACCATCAACGAAATCGCGTAAGCCTGATCATGAAATTACCTCAATCGCCTCGCCCATATTCGTCATCCTCTTTTCCCGTCGCACAATCTTTTCTTTGTAGTTTACATAGACTAGCCCATCAATCTCGAAAAAACGGTCCCATTTTCTAGTATTTTTTCTTTTACTTGACGATGAGTCCTCTTCACACCTCCACTCTTGCTGTTAAGCGCAACTACTGACTGCATGAATATAAGGTAACTGTTAAAGGCTCAACTGACGCAAAATTCGTCCACAGAGCAACGAGCACCTCACGTGGCTACAACTGGCAGCAATCAACCGCGAGACAAACCTCAACCATTTCCCGGGCGTGACGATCTGGAGTCGGCTCCCGGAGCAAAGAAGAGTGATTAATTCTGTAATTGCTTTTATAGCTTAGGTTTAAAGTTAGTTCAGTGGTAGTTCGTAAGAACTGTTTCGCTCACTTGTTTACTACTTGAAAACGGCTATTGTTTAAGTTAAGCGAATGAGTTTTATGGGTCTCACAACTAGTTTACCTTACTTTTGTGAATTCTACTAGTTCGCATGCTTGTTTTTGAGCTGTGGGCTGGTTTTCAGAGAACGGAGCTCTTTGAGTCTTCAAAAAAAATAGCGGTGAGCAGAAGTTACATTGGTTACGAATGAGTCATTGGTGTAGCATTTTCAGCATTATTTTGACTTACTATTCACTATTTATAATAGTTGTTAATTATAAGTGACAGCGTTGTTTCTTTGAAGCCATTCGTTCGGCTAGGGAGTGGTTCGCATGATGAAATGGTTGAATTATCTGGTTGAAACATTACGAAACATTACTGTACTAGAGTTTTGAGCTTCATTTGTCAATTCATGCTTTCAGTGATCCATTTTGAACTGTTGTAAATTTATTGAGCAATAAGAATTTTAGGCCACCACAAGTCTTTATTGTGACATTAAGCAATGTTCTCAAATGCAGTACAATTCAATAACCGAGGCGACGTATCTTGCGAACGGTGGGATGATGGCCAAGAGATGTCAATCGCGGCGACGCGGCGACGCGGGTTGTTTACGGCGCGATGCCGTAGTGAGGGATGTATAATTACGCCCACACGACGCGGCGTCTATTGGCGCTTTAGGCTCTAACCATTGGGTCTGTGTAGGACAAACATGTGGGTGGTTAGTCATGTTCAATGCGGGCAGGCTAGTGGCGCCTGACACGAATTTTGAGGTTCATCAGTGGACG